TAGATACAAATAACCTAACTATGAATTGTGATATTTTTGTCTTTTAAGTGCTGTTTGATGTCATTAGTTCCTTTTTTTTCATTTTCATGTGCTTTGAAATGATAAAGGAAACATTTTGAACTTGGATTCTGATCATAGTGTATGCTTTTGTGAATGTTTCCAAATTCATATTCTTGGACATTCGTATTCATGGATAATGCGAATGCTTCTTAGGTTGTTTTTGTATTCTTGCTGAATTGGCAGAATAATTTGATTGCCCATATTTTGAGCTTTGTGCTTGATAGTATTTGACTTCAAGAATCTTGAATTGCCATTTTTCTTTCTGTGTATTGGCTTCATGCTGAGGGAAAAAAAGAACTATATGTAACATATACTGTGTTTTATAATCTAAATTTTTTAAGGGTTGAAAAGTAAGAAGAATCAGTGCTTAAGTACAGAGTTTTTTTTTAATGTGTATGTAGTTCTATCATATGCAATTTAAGAAAGGCTACAGTGCCGATAAATTAGTATAATCCAGCATCTGTCTGCATGTTCCCACATGCAGAAAAATAACTTTTTAAATTAAATTATATATGTTTTGTGGTCAGGCCTTTGAGGAGCTGGCTCCTGTTTCTACAGTCTCCATGGTTTTAGACAGTATCATTCTTCTGACTTCACATAGTTATTTTTCATTCCTTTCAAAATCTTCCCTTATAGCTCTACTTCTTTATAATCTGGGTATGCTTGGTGAGGACAGTTTCTTCCCACTATTTCTGACTGCTACTTCTTTTTCATTACACCTCCACATTTTTCAAAGATTTTTCCGTTTGATTTCTCCTCAACCAGTTTCATTGCATGTAATTTTTGCTATCATCTTTAGTGACCTCAAAGTTCAAGTCAGCAACCTGTTGAACTTCCTGTCGTTTTACTTCACAGCGACCTTAAAATCACTCAGCAACTAATTTCTGTGGCTAAAATTTGTCATCATCTGTAATTTATCGATGTTCAAATCTTTAGTTCCAAAATTTCTGTCTCTGATCTTGAACTTTTCTTTTATTTCCTTTTTCTTTTTTAACCATTGCCATCTGACTTTGATCTTTCCACATTCCTCTGGTTGACCAGCCATTTCCCGGAATCATTTTTTTCCCGTCAGACTGGACTTCATGAAAAGCTGCTCTGATGACATGCTCACCAGCATCTTCAGTTTCTTCTTCCACTTCACTCATCTTACTGATCTTCCCTCTGGATTCAACCTAACTCTCTACTTTTTCCATTCCTCCTCCTGAATAGTACCAGAGAAACTTACATAGAATTATCAACTGACTTCTAGTGGTCTTGCTTACTTCCTCCCCACCAATGCATTTACACTATTCAAAAATTAATGTATCCCAATTACTAGACACACAGCTCTATTCTGATCAGTGAAGAATGAGCTCTGAAGTCTGTTGGGGAACTTCTAAAAATATTTACTCATTCCTAAAAAAGATACACAGAAAGAGATGTTTTCTCCTTTTCTGGATGTTGTTATATTTGGCTGTGATGCCTGGAATAGCTGAAGATGCCTTGCTCTGTTCCTGAGAAAGAATCCACACAGAGAGGAGAGTGCTTCTGAGAGAAGTGCAGAGAGGTGGGCCTAGAACTTTGGGTCTGGAACAATTATACCTGGAAAGATAATAAATTACCTTGTGCTTTAAGCTAACTTAAACCACAAGGAATTGGAGTTTTCCTCTTAGCAGAAGAAATTCAAGCTCATGTGAAGCATCAGTTCCAGGAGTAAAGAGCTGTAAGTAAAGAAGCCGAAATGTAGGATTGACTAAGTGGAGAAGTGGGGTGGGGACAGGGAAGATCACACTTTTCTAAAGGGAAAGTTGGCCCTCCTTACTGTGCTACGAGAAGTGTTTGGTTAAACCATCAGAAATTAGACCTTGGGGCAGTGATGCTGGGCCTTGAGTATGGCGTTAAGTGACCAGTAGGAACACTTCACGATATTGGAGTTTGCTGAATACCTACTACAGTCTTCAGGAAGGTCTACAAGATTAAAAAAAACTATAGGTTGAAGCCAGTCTATCTAAAAGCAGAGAATAATAAATAAATAAAAATGGAGAGCAATATTTTTTGGTGTGGGGAGACTAAAAATCTGCAATCTGTTTTCCAAATTTACTGAGTCTGATAATTTGGAGTTTTTAGGGTTGGAAAAGCCAAATTATCTATCCATGTTGAAGTTAGTCCAAGGAAGAGAGGGAGGTAGGAAACTTAGCAGAAAGATAAATGAGATAAAAAACAAGCCTGATTTCTCAGGCCCTTTTCAAGTACTTCTACATAAACATTCCCAGCTGTAGGGGACAAGCCGTTGTTTTGAATTCCCTCAAGATAAAGGCTGTTCAACTGAGGACCCTGGGAATGTCCAGAATATTGAGGTAGTGTTAAGACACTGACATTTTCAGACTCAGAGACAATGTCTAGACAAAATCTTGGGCTGTGGCTACTACCCAAACAATTAACCAAAAACAGATAGAACTTGCATAGTTTTTAGTATCTTTTTGCCAAAGAAATTCCAAATGTGACCAGTTTAGTCTGTGAATATCCACTCTAAGACTGTTACCTTTGTCATGAATTGATGTGATGGTTGGACCACTGAAATGGAAGGCAAAACCTGGAGAATTGTACAGGCGCAGAGCCTGAGCTTTGGGGGACTTTTCTTGAACTACTCTGTCTCTTGTCTTCCTGCATTTGAGAAAAATAAATACCCTTGCTGTTTAAACCAACTTCAGGAAGATATTATAGTATTTTGCATCAAAGACATTAAAGTCAAGTATGATTTTTATCTTCAGGGCTGCCTGGAAGTCTCTTAACACATGGGAGTGGACTATGTTATCGGTTCCAAACATTAGTCACTGTATTTAAGGCACCTCCCCTCATTCTCAGGTCCCTCCCACATTATCCTTACAGCTGAGACTTGATGCTATCAGTTTTGTCTCCTGTGTGGTCAGTAGAGTGGCCTTCCAGAGGTCCTGGAACCACGATTCTGATGAGGTATCACTCCCATGGTTATGTTATGTTATATGGCACCATTGACTTAAAGAAAATGAGATTATCAGGATGGGCTTAATCTAATCATAGGGGCCTTGAAAAGCAGAAACATTTTTTCTGGCTATCGAGAGAAGGTTAAGTGGGAGAGATTCGGAACACAAGAAGGATTCAGTGTGGTGTGCCTGGCTTCAGAAGTGGAGGAGTCCATGAGCCAAGGAGTGTGGCTGGCCTTTAGAAGCTCAGAACAACCCCTGCTCAACAATACTAGCAAGGAAACAGGGACCCAAGTCCTAAGTGCAGAGAGCTAAATTTTGCCAATAAAAGAGTGAACTTGGAAATGGATTTTCCCCCACAGCTCCAGATAAGAGCCCAGCACTGCCAACACCTTGATCTTTGCCTTAGGGCACTGTAGGAACAATACCTTGCCTGGATTTATGACTTATGGAAACAGTAAGATAACAAATAAATATTATTTGAAGCCACTAAGTGTATTATATTGCAGAAGAAAAATAATACACCCACCCTGAGGCTTATCTCTATTTCTAGCCATATTTCCAGCCATTTTTTTCCTGCCTTGCAATCTTTCCAAAGTGAACTCTTTTCCATCCAAGGGCATTGCTTTTTTAGTTCTGCCCTTTCTTCAAAGTTTTGATCACTATCTTGCATGAATACTTCCCTGAGATCCTGGTTTCTCCTAGAACTTAAATTTCACCCCTACTTTTTATTTCCCATTTCTCACTAGTTTTCATCACAGCCCTATGATGTAGCTATTATCATTATCTTTATAAAGGTAATTTTCTCAAGTCCATAGAACTACTTATGATTAGACTAACAATCAAATTCAGTCCTCTCTGGTCAGCACTCAATGGCTTAATCACCTCCTTTTATTATTTCTTACGTTAGCTTCATGCTGTTTCTCCCTGTTAAAATTTAGAGGGATTTAAGGAAACCATTTTTTGGAGTGATTGACTCATTACATTTTATAACAAATTGTTTCACACCGAAGTAGAAAATGTAAAGTGTAACAATGCCTCACAAGTACTTGTCTTTTAATTCATTATTTCTAATTCTGAAACAAGAATCGTAATTTTTTTTTTTCAGGGTTCCATCCATGGTAAGCATCAGTAAACAGGTACAGCAATTGTCCTTGGTGCTAATATTAGTGGGGAGGCTGACAATTTCAGCTTCCTTACCTGCTGACTTTTGCACTTGCAATGTTGGGTAGTGAAGATTAGAAGGTTGGTTCTTGGCTTCTGTCCCTCAGTGTAAACCCTAACCCTCTAAAGATGCTGGCATCACCCCTAAAGAGGGTGATGGACATCTGGTCCCTTGACTTTTCTCCTGAGTCCCTTCCCAACCTCTCCTAATCGTAAATTAACCTCATTTCCATCTTTGTGGGGCTTTAAGACTCCCAGTTACACACTGGTGCATTTCTTATCACTGCTTATAATATTTTATTAATAGTGACTGATAGTACCATAATCTCTCTGAGAGTGTATCTTCATGCTTCCTTTTTTTATCTTCTATATCTGTTTTAAGTTTTCTTCTTTAAAGTGTGCCATTGAATTGCAAATTATTGTTATTTTAAGTAACACTTTATTATTTCACCTTCTGGTAAATTTTAAGTAACACTTTATTATTTCACCTTCTGGTAAATTCTGATAAGTCTTATTCTACACCCCCCCTTCCCTCAAATCTTTTGCTCAATTTTATCTTCCATTTAAATAATCATTTATGATCAAGGATTGATATGTTTTGCTGATGAAAATCTGAAACATGTATTTCAATGCACTGATACTTCAGGGTAATTGTATTTTTTTCCTTTTCTAGCCTAAAAATTATTTTTCATTAAAAATATAAAAAATACAAAGTATTATTTGATGAATTTTTCTTCTCCTCGTGGACTAAACTTTATTTTGTTTTCTGGTGATGTCTATGGTGAATCTGACAGTAATTTTTTTTTTTTTTGGTTTATGTTCTTAACCTGATAGATTCTAAAAGAAAAGGATGAATTGAAAAGCCAGCTTTATGCAGCATTACAACAAATAGAGAATCTTAGAAAAGAACTGAATGACGTTTTAACTAAGCGTGCCCTTCAAGAGGAGGAACTTCACTGCAAGGAGCAGAAACTAAGTGATGTTAGGGCTCTTCAAGCTGACCTTGAACGAGAAGTCAAGGATTCTCTGGACACCATCCAGAGTCTAGAAAGTGAATTGAAAAAGCAGAATAAGATTCAAAGCCAGATGAAAGTTGAGAAAACTCAGCTGGAAGAAGAAATTGCAGAGCTCAAGAAGAGCCAGGCCAAGGACAAAGCTCAGCTCCTTGAGATGCAGGAGGCCATTAAGGATCTGAGCGCCATCCGGGCAGATCTGGCTAATAAACTGGTTGAGGAACAGAGAGCCAGGAAAGAGGTGCTGAAGAACCTTTCTGACCTTAAGACACAGGCAAAGTCCAAAGATGAAGAAACAGCTACAGTCATTACACAGTTAAAGCTGGAGCGAGATGTTCACCAGAGGGAGCTGGAAGATCTCACATCATCACTGCAGAGTTTGCAAAAGAAACATGAACAGAACATCCAGGAGCTGATGAAGCACTTCAATAAAGAAAAGAGTGAGGCTGCGAATCATATTAGGACACTGAAGGTACCTGTGCTGAATTACCCTGATGATACTGAAGGAATTTTCTGGTGGTTCATGAAGTGAATAAAGCGTAAACTTTTAGAGTTCGTTCTGTATTCCCAAGCACTAAAGGGAAGATAAAACTAACAATAAAGGGGCTTATTCATGCCTGTTCAGCCAGGTTGAAATGAGTTATAGCAGCCACCTGGGAGCACCTATTTCAGAGCACTGAGACCCTTTAAAAGGAACGTTATTAGCTATTTCAGGAGTTCAGGAAAGGCAGAGGTGGCTGTAAGTTGTGGACCTGAAACATGCCTTCATTCAACATTTGTGACCTCCTAGAATATGAAAGGCAAAGGCTTGTCAAGGCCACAGAGGCTATAACCACAGTCCTTATTAGTGTGGTAACTAAAGTGGGCTGAGTAAACCCAGGGTTGACCCCTTCTTTTCCAAATCAAAGTTCCTGGGTAAATTCATAATTGATGCATTTGGGCTAGTGTTTCTGAGGTGTAATGGTATCAGTATTGTCACTGCACATGGAATCATTTCATAACATGATTTCAGGGGTGTGATAAATCTATCCCTTCTTCCTGCTTCATTTTTTTCTCCATAGAAGTTAGCATCATGATTCAGATTCTATGTTATTTATTTTTTAATATCCCTTTATTAGAATGGAAACTTCATGAGAACTGGTATTTGGGTCTGTTTACAGTTATATGCCCCATGCCTGTGACAGTTCCTGGAACAAACCTTCACTGATTATTTGCTGTCTGGAACAGAGTCTCAGCTCTGGTCCCGTCCTCCTTGACATGGTCCCCACTGAGTTGTTCACATTTGTAGCTTCTTATACTCTCCGACACCCTTCACACACATGTTCAACCATTGCCCACATGTACTTTTCACTGCTTGTCTTCATCTTGATGGCCCTGCCCCCCAAGTCTGCAGAAGGAAAAATGCTACCTAATCCTTCAAGATCCAGTTTGTTTATCCATCTCTTTTAACAACTCACTGAAGTTGGGATATGTCTCAGCTGAGGTTGGGATGAATGTCTTGATCCTCTGTTTCCATAGCATAGTTATGTTGCTGTCTGCAGTAGGGCACATTTAGGCTACCTTACGTACGATGGCAGGTGTCATGTCTTAGCCATTTTCTCATCCTCTTACAATGTCTAGCATAATGTTTGAGATATAGAGGAGATATTCAATGGACATTGGGTCGAAATGTTTAAAGAGCTGAAAATCAGAAGATTTGCTTCTGACTTGCTTTGTGACCCTTCTAGTTTGGGAATCTCCCTGTAATGTGGGGAAATTGATTTCCTCATCCTGTCCTTAGGAAATGCTTTGTAGTCATGTAAAGTGAGAGGGCAATAAACCTGTAAGGAACTACCTGCATGTAAAGAATATATAATTTAGAAGTATTCTACAGATATTCTGACACTTTTAGACTTTCTTCTTTCTTTTTTTTTTTATTTGGAAAACTGAGATCTGGGAGGGTGTGTTGTAGCTACTCTTTAATGTGGTACAAAGACACCTAAGAGCTAAAAGGGAGAATCAGAGATTATGAGAGCCCAGTACTTTGTTTTTAAACTGAGTAAGTTACCCATAAGGACCACCCTCCTCCACCTATCCTTTTTACTTATTGATATTAATTAAAAGGAGTTGATAAGAATGATCGCCACAGATTGAGTATGCTGAATTATGTACGAGAGGGCTTTGGACAAGTAGTTTTATAAATGTTTTATTAATTTGTCTTTTGGCTTCACCTTAATTTACTTCTCTAAATCTAATAAGTGCTGATACATTACTCATATTTTTTTTTCTACGCCAACTATATTCTATCCTCATCTAGAGCTACCATTCTCATGCCTATTTTAAAATTTAAATGCAAAATATTTTAATGAAATACTTTAGTAACTGCTATTAATATTTGAAGGATATTGGGTTATCACCTCATTATGACTTCAAAATCATTTTGTAAAGCCATTTGCTGGAATCAAAAGATCAGGGATTGGAGTTCTATACTTTTGCCACTTCCTGGCCAGATGATCTTGATCAAATTACTTAACTTTTTGCGCTTTATCAATAAAATGGGAATAGTAATCACAGGGTTTTTGTGCGTACGACATCACTTTGTAAGCCGTAAAATGAAATGTAAATATCATAATAAAAAAAAACCACAATAAGAAGTTCTTAGTGAAATTTAGGCATTGGTGTGCTGGTCAATGTTTTAAAAATAGGCTCCCTGGTGGTAAGGGGGAAAAATCCCTGAGGAATATCATTTGTCCAGTGCAGTGTTGTAAATATCCCCCTTTGCCTGATTTCAAGCTTTCAAACAAGAGATCACTGGAGGAGGACAGCCCTGGAAAGAGAGGAGCAGTTGGTCCTGGAGGGTCTCTGTAAGCCTGAGGGAGAAACCTTCTGTACCCACCCTTCTTATAAGACATAAGGAAAAGCCAAAGCATTCTACTGAAACTGAAAATCATAATTGGACAATTTTCCTGATGAGAGACTTTAGTTTGTGAATTTATTTTTGGTTGTGACTAAAGGATTCCTCATAAAAAAATAATCAATTCTACTGTTTATTCAAAGTGGCATCGAGTCTTGGGTGAATTTTGTGAGGTGAATAAAATATATAGATTTTGTCTAAACCTGACAAAACTTCTTCCTTTCAGGAAATTGCTTCCAGTGACTGAGCCTTACATACCTGATTAAACACATAAAACAAACTTATAAAAAAGAAAAGGAGCAGATGTATTTTGGGCATTAAACCGGGTATTTTAAACAGATTGTAGGTAGTTGCTTGTAGGCTGTTGGTAACTGGTAGGTGTGATCAGTTAACATTGCAAGTTGCACTGAGATGGTTTTTAAAGTCTTATGATACATATACCTTTTGAAAGGTAGTGTGGTGGAATAGACATGGCTATTAGAGAGAATTCCTGGGTTCAAATCCTGGCTCTGCACTTACCACTATGTGCTCCTTGGCAAGTTGCTAGTGTCTCTGTGCTTCAACTTCAAAAAAGGAGGCAATGAGAGCCCCACCCTTCTCAGACTGTTGTGAGAACAAAATGGGGAAAAACTATACAAAAAAGGTTTGAGAATAGAGTGTTTACATGGTTGTTATTTTTAAAGTTTTTAAGTTCACACACCTGCCAAATCTTGAATCCCACACACAGAATATATTATTCCTAATTTTTAAAAAGCTGATTCTGGTTATATTATAAGTAAAGATGGAAAACAAGGTACCTTGTTACACTGTTGGTATTAAAATAGCATTGGTAATAAACTCTTGCTTGTTCGCATTATTTGTAGTTTCTTAGCTGTGGCAATTTGTAATCTTTTTAGCGCCACAGAATGGTATCAGTAATAGTATTGTACAAAAAGTGCACAGTTCACTCCGAGTAACCAGGAGGTAGGTTAGATAAGAATGTTGTTAAGCTCCTTTTATAGATGAAGGAACTTACTGAAGTTATATGTCATAGTATTTCCCTTTTGGGACCTTCTCTAGTAACTGGCCCCCTTCTTAACAAAGTTAGTGTCCCTTCTTTGCGTTGCCCCAAACCCACTTTATTAAACACTTCTCATTCATTGTTATAGAAATTGATTGTTGTGTCTGTTCACATCTGTTATCTTCAGCACCTGGTATAGTTCACTTAGTAAATGCTCAGTGCAGGGAGTGCTAAGGAGTGATTGAGTAAATGCAAAGAGCATTTCCTTCATGTGCATATTTATGTATGAGTGTTTAGAGCAAAATCTTGAAGTATCTGCGCACTGACCTAGGGTGTAATTTGTTTGGTGTACAATTTAGTTGTGGCCAGTGGACTTTCTCTTTTCTCCTCTTATTTCAGGCAGAAAGCTTAGAAGATAAGAATATGGCTAAAGCCCATCTTTGTCAGCTAGAGAAGTTGAAATCACAGTGTGACAGGCTGACAGAGGAGTTAACCCAGAATGAAAATGAAAACAAAAGACTGAAGCTGAAATATCAGGGTTTGAAGGAACAACTAGAAGAAAAGGTAAAAATATGAATTAATTCAAATTTAGGACTTACTTGAATTTCTTCTAGAACATATGTATTAATAAATGTAATTGTAGTCTTTCATAGGAAAGTTGTATTGGAGCCAGAAAAAAATGATAGAAGTTAATTAGAATGCTGTGGTTTTTGTTCTTTCAACCAACCAGTAATCTCCTAATACATTTTATTTAAAATTTTTTTGTATCTTAAAATAGAAGTTAGAGGCACAGTAGCAAACAAAGGTATTATGGTTCATTGAGACCTACTATATGTCAGGCATTTATGCCACCTGATTTACATATGTGTACTCATTTAATGCTCACAACTCTTTGGGTTAGATTTTGTTGATCCCTTTTAATGTATGAGGAAACTAAACCTCAAAATAAATATGTAATAAATAAGTGCTCACTCTCTGCTAGGCATTTTAAATTCTCATAGTAATTTTATGAAATCGATGCTTCTCTCATTTTTGTAGTTGCAGAGACTGAAGTCAAACTAGGTTGCTAACCTTGGAGCATCCCCAGCAGTCTCTCTGCTTCCTGTCAGTAGATGTGTAAATTATTTTGAGTGTCTGCTAATATATTGGGCATTGGGTAGAATACTAGGGACATTAAGAGTGTCACTACTTTTGTGGCACAAAGTCAACTGAGAATAGAAGACAGGATACTTAAGTTTGCTTTCTGTTTTTTCCATTAACTTCCTAAAGAGATTTGCAATCATGGGGAAAAACAGTGTAACCTGGGCCAAATGAATTCTCTGTTTGGTAAGGGTTTATGATGAAGGAACTGTCACTGGGTGGAGTGTCATAAACTTCTCCATAAACCTCTAGGAAGAAACTTCTTAATGCTTATCTTTTCCTCGGCTTGTTGTTTGCAGTATTCATTATATATCTATATATCTATATCTATATCTATATCTATATCTATATCTATATCTATATCTATATCATCTATCTATATCTATATCCTTATCTATATCTATATCTATATCTATATCTATCTTTCTAGTAATTGTTAAAATCAAGGAAATAAAATATAAGTTAGTTTAGAGTTTATGATTAAATGTGCTTAAGTTCCTAACTTTAGGCCTGTAGTCTTGGCAACTGCTGTAGTTTAGTTCTTATATCATTCTTTGTTTTGATTATGTCCAATATTCACATATATTTACAGTATCTGTTGCCAGAGTGTAGTTGCCATGGAGATAATGCTGAATTTTCCAACTTTTCCATAATTAAAATTTTAGCCTGAAAATTATGTTAACATGTTTTGTATTTACTTATTTGCATTTAAGAAATAGTGGTGAAAATTTTGATATGTTGAAAATGTAAAGTTTACCTTGTTCTACTTAAAATAAGTGTTTCTTCACTGATTCTATTTGTGATATTCCAGATATATATGTGTTATATCACATTTATATAAATGGAACATTTATCTTAGAACAGAGTTTCAAGAGTTGATGATCATGTCCCATTGCTGTGTCCTGAGCATCTAGTATGTGGCAGACATTGTGCTGGATGCGGAGGATATGTGTAAATAAGACACAGGTCTGCAACTAAAAGTTCATAGTGGGTTCATTAAAACAAAATCCCTCTTGGTTGTTAAAACTATATAGTTGTGTCATGACAGTTGGTGCTAAAGCAGAGAAAAGATGTCTTTAGATGTCCTAAAATGGTGGATAATCTTAAAGATACATAAACACACATATATAAATATATTCAACTTATGGGCTTGCTTTTCTTTAATATTTATTTTTGTGTACATGATTTTTATGTCCTTTTGATTGACTTATTTGTGTTGACCCATTCCTTAGTATAATTAGGAATCAAAATTGCATTGGTTCAAGCCATCTACATATAGGACCTTCCTCTTTGAGAGGTAGTATAGCATTAATGACTATGGTCAGAACTTTGAATGTAAATCATTTTCTAGTTGTGTGGCTTTAGACAAGTTGCTTAAAGCTCAAAGCCTCAGTTTTATCATCCTTAAAACAGGTATAATAATACGTCAATAATGGAATTAAATGTGAAATGTACATAAAAGTGCCTGGCAGAGGATCTGATACTTAATAAGTCATCAATTAGTGTCTACCATTTTTTTGTTACTGTTATGTTTCCAAATACATGCTAATTAATGGTCTAGTGGAGCACTCAACCAGTCATCAAGTATTGATTGACTGTCTGTGGTTACCCTAACAATGTGTTAGGTAGTTAAGGGCCAGGGAACTGGGAAAAAGAATTACTACAGAACTTTGCTGATTGGGAGTTTAGAGCCAGACTTTGTTGAATCACTTGAGAAAGATGTTCCACAAAGGAGGCACCCATGTAAAAGAGCCAGCAGTTCTATCAGCAAGTGATATTGAAGGCATGTGCCCCGAATGGGGGCAATTTTACAGTTATGTTTGCTATTTGAGGACAGGACCAAGTCTTGGTTGTTTTTCCATCCCAAGACCAGATGCCTAACACACAGTTGGTAATTTAGAAGTAAATTGTGGAATTGTGGATAAAGATGTATATGTATAAACACACACACATACATATATACACATATGTGTGTGTGTGTATATATATATATATATATGGATAAAGAAATATGGATAACCAGAATATATTATATATATATATATGTATGTATATACACACACACACACACACACACACACATTTATTCTTCTTTTCTCCTCCCTCTCTGCCTCTCTCTTTCTCTTTTTTTTCCAGGTGTGTGTGTGTGTGTGTGTGTGTGTGTATGCTCTGTGTTGGCCAGACTGGGGGAAATAAACAAGAAAACAAGACAAAAATGTCCTAAGGGGAAAAAAAAAGCCCTGTGGTTTGTAGCCCAGAGATCACTGTTTAAGCAATTCAGTGACCATGATGAATGGGGCCTTATGGATTAGAGGGATTTCTAATGTCACTTTGCCGTAATCAAAAGGGAAGCTTTTCTTGTTTACATAACAAAGCAGTGTTCTTGCATGTCCATCCCTAACATAAATGTACAATGCTACTTATGGCAACAATACACACTCCCCCTTTTAGAAAATGTCTTGCTACTATTTTGACTGCATACTTTGGCTTTTGTCTTTGTTTCTTGTCATGTTATTACTTCTAAGCTAAGAGATGTTAAAACTGCATCAAAGTTCATATAAAGCATTAGCACCAGCAGCTTTAATCAGTAGCAGAAGATTGCTGTTAGTATATTTGCACAGAATAACTAACTTCAGCATATTTTCCTCATGTATTCAGTGGTAATATGTGGTAATAAAATGCATTTTTTCCAATATCTGATTTTGCTTTAACATCAAATGTTTTTTCGATTTTACTTGACAAAGAGAACAAGTATTATGCTACCCAAAGAATTTTTAAATATGCATTTAAGACTTTGTCATGAGCTTCTTACCAGGAAAAAAGAGTCTCATGAAATGTTACAGATAAAATTTCCTCCCATCTATAGTATCATTAAAATGTATTCCTTTTGCTTAAAATTTTAAAGGGAAATATTTGACTTATTCTAAAGAGATCTTATTCATATTAATCTTTTTGTTCTTCTGGCATTTACCTGGAAACTCATACTGCTGTTTATTCTATCAGAGATATATTTTTATTGGTTTCACTGGAATATGTGAACATCAAGAGTTATTTTATAATAAAAGAATTTTTGCTCAGCAAGTCAGCATCAAGGTTTATATCATGAAGGTTTAACTGTCTTATCTATACTGACCTATATCTACTAAAAAATATTTATTACACTAGGTATGATTTTATTAATGATATTGGCCATCTTTGTAGAGCTTTCCAGATACTTTTGTAGTATAAGTATTGAAAGAAAGATTGATTTTTAATTTTAAACATGTTTGCATAGTATTTTAGACATAGCTGGTACCTAAACTTAAGAAAATATTAGTTTGAGAGTACTCCATTTATATGTTCTCTTAGTCCTTATGTTTTATAAGTATGGCTGTTTTATGAAAAATATATACATATATTTTGTGCAGGTTTATTTATAAGCAACAAGAAAAAAATAGATTGTTTTCTAAAGTCCAACACAAACATAATACAGATATTTATTTACAAATAGTGAAAGAATAATTTAATTTTACCAATTGTGTTCATTTATATAAATTCTGAAAGTATGTGCTTAGAAAGCATTTTGTTCTTTAAAAGGGAACTTTTAAAAATCATAAAACAGATTGTCAGTGTGGAAAATGCAGGGAACTTTTAATTTTTTTTGTTATTATTAATATACAATTACATGAGCAACATTGTCATTGCTAGATTCCCCCCATTATCAAGTCCCCACCACATACCCCATTACAGTCACTGTTCATCAGCGTAGTATGATACTATAGAGTCACTACTTGTCTTCTTTGTACTATACTGCCTTCCCCGTGCCCCCTCCCTGCCACATTATGTGTGCTAATCATAATGCCCCTTTTTCCCCTTATCCTTCCCTTCCCACCCACCCTCCCCAGTCCCTTTCCCTTTGATAACTGTTAGTCCATTCTTGGGTTCTGTGAGTCTGCTGCTGTTTTGTTCCTTCAATTTTTGCTTTGTTCTTATACTCCACAGATGAGTGAAATCATTTGGTAGTTGTCTTTCTCTGTCTGGCTTATTTCACTGAGCATAATACCCTCTAGCTCATCCATGTTGTAATCAGGGTACTTTCTAGGAAGATATACACTTACCTATAATCTTACAGTCTAACTTTTCTTCATCTGAGTTTTGGTGAAATTCTTTTTAGGGTTCTTTTCTGTGCACCTGGCACACAGATCCCATTTGGAATTGGGCTGTGTGCACAGATTTGTATTCTGAATTTGTAGACATCATTGAACATTTTTCCAAATCAGGTTTATTTGCGAGCTAATATTTCACCTGGCAGATGTAGCAGTCTTTTTTTGTTGATTGCATGATGTGTGTATTTTCTATTTTCAAATTATAGGTCAGGTAATTTTTATCCTGTGTGATCCAGGACTTTCCATATTTGGAGCTTTTGTTTGTATTTGTTACTATTT